AGACACACAAGCCCTTGAGGACACATGCCTGAGGATTCTGATAAGGATATTATGTCTAAATATGTACACGTTTGGACCTACAGTCCAGCTTTGAAACAATGGAAGACCTAGTTTCAAATTCAAGGTTTCTTTGAGTAGAAATTCACTTTACCTCTCTTTGCATGGCAATGGGGCCAATCTTCCCTAAGGTGCCCCTTACAAGAAAAGAAATCATGCTGGTAAGATTCCAGACTTCAGCAGACATGGGTAAGTAAGGAAGTCTTACAAATGTATTCTAGCCACCTAGTGAGAAATAAGAAATTTAGCAAGTTCACTCACATGTAGGACAGTTGTGTGCACTAGATCAGAGGCCCTGCTACATGAAGAATAGAGCCCTAACAAGGGAAAGTATTTCTTCCCGTCCTACTGCCAACTTCAGGGAAGTGGGAACACAACCGCCTGCCTTAGGATATGGGTTACTTTTGTGCCTGGAATGTGTCTGATATCCTGCTACCTGTACCCATTTCAGGGAGCCTTGGGAGGAGCCTGAATCACTGATGGAATTGGACTGTGCATGGAGATGGTTGAGCAAGATGAGGGTAAGTGCCGGGGCATGGCCAGGTCATACTGGGAGACAATGAGCAACACTGATGCGGACAAAGATAAAGTCAACAGTTTGCCTCAGCATCAAAAACTCAAACCAAGCCAGGTGCGGTGGCTCACGCCTAGAATCCCAGCACTTTGGGAGGCCGAGGCGGGTGGATCACGAGGTCAAGAGATCAAGACCATTCTGGTCAACAAGGTGAATCCCCGTCTCTACTAAAACTACAAAAATTAGCTGGGCGTGGTGGTACGCGCCTGTAGTTTCAGCTACTCGGGAGGCTGAGGCAGGAGAATTGCTGGCCGAGATCGTGCCATTGCACTCCAGTCTGGGTGACAACAGCGAAACTCTGTCTCAAAAAAAGAAAAATCAAACAAAAAAGGAATTTGCTTTTAGTAATAAGTATTTTTCTATTTACATGAGAATTTAATCTCAAATCATAAAAATAGTAAGTCCAGGGCATAAAACCTAAACTATAGCTCATAGTTATTCTTTCTTAATGGAGGTATCAGTAAAATCTTCATAAAACATACATTGTGGTTATAAAAAGGCAAAAGTTGACCAGGTGCAGTGGCTCATTCCAGCAGTCCCAGCACTTTGGGAGGCCGAGACGGGTGGATCACGATGTCAGGATATCAAGACCATCTTGGCCAACATGCTGAAACCCTGTCTCTGCTAAAAACACAAAACTTAGCCAGGCATGGTGGCACGTGCCTGTAGTCCCAGCTACTTGGGAGACTGAGGCAGGAGAATCACTGAACCCAGGATGCAGAGGTTGCAGTGAACTGAGATTGTACCTTCAGCCTGGTGACAGAGCAAGACTGTCTCAAAATAAGGAAGGAAGAAAAGCAAAATTCTTAGTGAACATCATAGGTGTACCTTAGAAGAGAGAATTAAATATAGTCAAGGGAAGACCAAGTCTCATAGTTCTCTTGTATATTCCAAAGTTCCAGGGAAATGCCAGGTAACAGAGGATATTTCCCATGCTGTTAAAGCAAGGTTGCAGACACTAATGAATTCTGGGCCCAATACTCCAGGAGGGCACACCTCTGTCCTGGAAAATTGTACAGGAACGAATACTTTTCCTTTGACTCATTCTGGTTATTCATCCAGGATCACAGAAACTAAACAATGGAAATATGGCCAAATTCATGATTTGCTAACCCTCTTCTCAGGTTTCTTACCTGACTCTTAGGATAACAGCATTACTTTGAAGCATATGATGAAGATATGCTGTCCAAATATGAGCACAGTTTTGAGCAAAATGCCTGATACAAATGATGATGATATGAATATTTACTGAATGACATGGATCCTATGAATAACTGTGGAATAATTGTTGTGATTGCTTTTATTAGCAGTGCTCAAAACTCATCTCTGTGTGACCTTGCAAGTAAGCCACATAACTGTGAACCTGCAGCTTCATCAGTTTTAAAATGGAGGAACGTGACAGATTTTCATTCTGCCACAGAATGTCAGGCCTCCCAGACACCAGAACATACATTTACGTAAAGCCTTTGATATATTTCCACGCAGTATCCCTACAGGTAGTTGGAGGATGGTGGGGGCTGCAGAGAGGCACGCTTTCCAATGGGATTGAGGCAGTCCTTCTTCCTTGACTTTTACATGAATGCTGGGCAGCCCAGGGTCACACCCATTGCACCCTCAACTCAGGCAAGCCCAGCAGCCAAACATAGGAGACTTGGGCTACAGAACAGTCTTCCAAATCCCAGGCTCAGAAAACCGAGGTGGAGATGACGGTTCAGGGGATCACTCTTCCCTACTCGTTCCTCTCATCTCAAATTCACCTTCCATTGCACAGCAACACTGAGGACCACAACCACCCCTGACCATCACCTTGATCTTGCCATGTTTGGTTAGTGGGATGCACCCACACATCAGTGGTGTTAGACCAACTCAGAAAAATATCTGTCAAACAGTGTTTTCGTAAGAACCGCTCATGGCCCTGTTATTTTCAATATATGGAAAAAATGAAATGAAAACAACAAAATCATACCAGGTTTCCAAGACTTCCCAAGATAGATGGTCACACATGCTTTCAGGAGATCTCTATAGAAATGGTTTCAATGATGCGACACCTTGAAAAGAGCTCTTCTGGGACTAGAATGACATCTATAAGTGACAAGTATGAGATGTAGTGTTCACTCACATTAAAAAACAGAATTTAAGGCTGTTTTTTAGAGGAAGCTTTGGACATAGGTACGTCACACTGGTCTTGATTGTAATGAAAAGCCTCCAAACATTAGTGTACTGGCACCTGCCAGTAAGAAAAGTAAATCAGCATAACAATGGGATGCAGCAAGAAGAATATTGAGCCAGGAAAGAAAATATTTTTAAGAAATGAGTTACTCATTGACTTTCTAGTGGATACAGAAAAAACTGCAGAAGACTCAGAGGATATCATGGCAGTGTAATAGATTGATATCTTAAACTTGTGGAAAAGCCTTAAATTCTGTTTTAACATGTGAGAAGGACTCACATGTTTAACATGACTGACTTCATGAGTAGCATTAAGGAAGTATCACGTGTTGGGAAACTGTTTCTGCCTTGATGATTTTATACACATAAGAGATGAAAAATGAGGCACATGCTTAGATGTATTGGGAATGAGATGGCACTGTGGCATTGTCACAACGGTACACAAATACTGAGAGTGACTTATAGAGTAATGGTCCCCATCTGTTGTGACCTCAGGTGAGACCAGGAGGCCTGTGTTTTAGCAAGAATGAAGGGCTCCTAAGATTCCATGACACGGCCAGCTTTTAATTCTGTTATTGCAACAGCAGACGGTTACCTGGGACACTGGCCGCTATCTCTCTCACTCTTGTCAGAGTCTGAGCTACAGGCAGCTCCTTCAGTTCTCAGCTCAAGCATTTTCAACCTTGTTTTTGCGGTTAAGGACCTTAGCTAAAGTGCTGTGAGGAGGGATCGAGTTTTTCTCAACAGTAAGTTAAGAATTTGAGTTCATGACATCCCCCAGTCCTGATGAAACCTATTTGATTTCCAGTTTTTAACCCATCATGTGTTTGCGTTTCTTCTCCCAGTCCCTGGCCCTACCTGTGGTGCCCCAAACGTCGGCATGATAGCATCTCGCAGGACATGTTCCAGGAAGACCACAGAGGCAGACTTTCCAGATACCATCGAGAATTCCTACTCCCAGCAGGAAGAGACCAAACCAAATATCGGAGCCAGCAAAAATAGACTTCTTCTGAGTCAGGTGGCCTACCTGAACTACCAGCTGAAGACCTACAGTAAGTTCTATAGGTTGACCACCATGAAGGTGATGAAGGATGTCCTGTCTCAAGAAACTAACCGTTCTCTTAATCAAAATTAATTTCTTCCTTCCCATACTTGTGGAAACTAGCAATGGGTATTTTAACATTTACTTAAAATGGAAGACAGTGGCGAAAGTACTTAGCAACTTTTCCACATCTACAGTAATGTGGGTGTAGGACTGGGTTTAAAATCCCAGTGATTGATTTCTGACACAGGCACTGAACCACCTGTTTTTCTCAGCAAAAGGCTAAATCATGTTTACAGGATTCCTCCCTGTACCATAAAAGATGCTACATACAAGTAGCATCCAGTCTGTTGGGCTTAATGTCTGAGGCTACTGAACTTCCATTTGGTTCCGGTTTCTGCTGAGGCCCAGTAGGCAAAGCTGTATTCTGGGACACTGGGAGAAACACAGTGATAGCGCACAGTACCCACTATGCGGGACCCTGCTCCTAATAGAACCTGTGGTATCTATAAGTGGCTCCATCAAGGGCAGGGAGTACCCTGGTACTGGTGCCTCAGCCTCCCAATCAGCTGTGATCTCTGATGGGCACCAGCACACCTGGAAAATTTTTGTATATTTAGTAGAGGCAGGGTTTCACCATGTTGGCCAGGCTGGTCTTGAACTACTGAGGTCAAGTGATCTGCCTGCTTGAGCCTCCTAAAGTGCTGGGATTCCAGGCGTGAGCCACCATGCCTGCTCCACAGATTCTTTTTTTCAGTAGAGATTGTTAGAATTCATCCCTTGGTCCAGTCTCCTATATAAATTTCTCTAACAATTCATTGGCAATGATATATGATCAGATACATCCGTATTACACCAATGCTTCTGGAAAGTACTTAGGGCAATTTTTGAAGATTTTGGGGACAAAGGTTTAATTTTTTGCACTGACTTAGGTCAGATGATGTGACTTAAGATCTACCAGAGTCCCATGGATCTGAAAATCAGGCTTATCTACTTCTAGGGTGACCTAATCTAGGGACCAGTAGAACATTCCCTTCAGAATATCACATTCTGAAACGGAGAATATTTTACGTCCTTGCGCTATGACCGAACACTGTTTTGGTCTTGTGTGAAGTGTGATTTCCTTAATGTGACCTGCTCTTTTGAATTTGTTTACAGGAGATCGAAAAGATCACGATGAAGAACAGAAAGGCAGAGACAGCAAAAATAAACTTCTTATGAGTCAAGTGGCCTACTACCTGGGCTGCCGGCTGAAGACGGAAGGTAAGTTCTCTAGGTTCACTGTCTCGAAAGTGATGAACAGTGTCCTGCCTTGTCTCTGAGAGACGATGCACTCTCTTCAGAGTTAATTTCATCCTACCCATACTTCTAGGAATATAGCAATGGGTATTTTAACATTTTGTTAAAATATGTTAACAAACTACTGGAGGACAGAGGCCAAAGTATTGAGCAACATTTCCATGCAGTAAGGCGGGTGTGGGACTAGTGTTAATATCCCAGCAATTGATTCCTGATACAGGCACAGAACCACCTGTATTTCTCAGCAAGAGGCTAAATCATGTTTAAAGGAATCCTTCTAACATAGACGATCCTGCAGAACTCATAAGCAAGATAAAGGTAGAAGTGTTAATTTCCTGGTTTCAAGGTGACTGAGTAGTTAAGACAAGTTGACTTTAAAGAGAATGAGAGGAGGTAAGAAGAGTAAAAGCAGGGAAAGAACATCTTCAAATCAACAGGCAAGGCTGTCAGTGACATCGCTCAGTCCCGATTAAACCAACTTGATGTCACCAGTTTCTAACCCATCATGTGTTTGGGTTTCTTCTCCCCAGTCCCTGGCTATCTGTGTTCTGCCCCAAACATCAGCACAGTGGCATCTGGCAAGCCTCCTTCCAGAGAAAACACAGAGGTGAACGTTGCAGAAGGCATTGAGAAATCCTGAAAATTTCAGAGCCAGCAAAAGTAGACTTCTTCTGAGTCAGGTGGCCTACTTCCTGAACTACCAGCTGAAGATCTACAGTAAGTTCTATAGGTTCACCACCACGAAACTGATGAATGATGTCCTGTGTTGTCTTGAGAAACTAACCGGTTTCTTCATCAAAATTAATTTCGTCCTCCTCATACTTGCAGAAAATAGCAATGGTTATTTTAACATTTTATTAAAGATGGAAGACAGAGGCCAAAGTATTTAGCAACTTTTCCACCTCTGCAGTAAGGTGGGTGTGGGACTGGGGTTACAATCCCAGCTATTGATCTCTGACACAGGCACAGAACCACCTGTTTTTCTCAGCCAGTGGCTAAATCCAGGTTCACAGGAATCCTCTCTGTACCATATAAGATCCTGCAGACAAGTAGCATCTAGTCTGTTGGTCTAAATGTCTGAGGCTACTGAACTTCCATTCAGTTGTGGTTTCTTCTGAGGCCCAGTAGGTGGGGACACTGGGGGAAACACGGTGATGGCACACAGTACCAGCTGTCGGGAACTTAAGGGGGGCCCTGCTCCTAATAGAACCTGTGTTATCTGTAAGTGGGTCCATCAAGAGCAGGGAATAACCTGGTACTGGTGCGGCAGCCTCCCAATCAGCTGGGATCCCCGGTGGGAACCACCACACTTGACTAACTTTTGTATTTTCAGTAGAGGCAGGGTTTCACCTTGTTGGCCAGGCTGGTCTTGAACTCCTGAGGTCAAGGGATCCACCCTCCTGGGCCTCCTAAATTGCTGGGATTCCAGGCTTGAGCCACCATGGTGTCTCCACAAATCCTTTTTTCAGTAAAGGTTGTTAGAATTCATCTCTCAGTCCAGTCTCCTGTATAAATTTCTCTAACCATTCATTGACCATGATATATGATGAGATAAATCAATATTACAGCAATGCTTCTGGAAAGTATCCAGGGCAATTTTTGTAAGATTTTTGGGGAAAAAGTTTTAATTTTTTTTTGCCTGATTAAGGTCTACCGGATGAGGGAGATTTTATGCCATGGATCAAAAGCAGGCTCATCTACTTCTAGGGCAACTTAGTCTAGGGCCCGTTAGACACTCCTGTCAGAATACCACATTCTTACACTGAGAATATTTTACATCCTTGTGCTATGAGTGGGCACTGATTTGGTCTTGTGTGAAGTGTGATTTGCTTAATGTGACCTGCTCTTCTGAATTTGTTTACAGGAGATCGAAAAGATCACGATGAAGAACAGAAATGCAGAGACAGCAAAAATAAACTTCTTATGAGTCAAGTGGCCTACTACCTGGGCTGCCGGCTGAAGACGGAAGGTAAGTTCTCTAGGTTCACCATCATGAAAGTGATGAACAGTGTCCTGTTTTGTCTCTAAGAAACAATACACTGTCTTCTTGAAAGGTGATTTTATTCTGCCCATACTTCCAGGAATGTAGCAATGGGTGTTTTAACGTTTTGTTAATGCAAAGTATTGAGCAACTTTTCCACGTCTGCAGTAAGGCAGGTGTGGGACTAGTATTAATATCCCAGCTATTGATTCCCGACACAGGGACAGAACCACCTGTTTTTCTCAGCAAGAGGCCAAATCATGTTTACAGGAATCCTCTCTAGCATATAAGATCCTGGAAAACTTTTAAGCAAGATAAAGGTAGAAGTGCTTATTTCATAGTTTCAAGGTGACTGACTAGCTAAGACAAGTTGAATTTAAGGAGACCAAGAGTGGAGATGAGAAGAGTAAAAGCGGGGAAACAACATCTTCAAATCGATAGGCAGTGCTGTCAGTGACATCCCTCAGTTCCGATTAAACCAATTTGATGTCCCCAGTTTCTAACAAATCATGTGTTTGGGTTTCTTCTCCCCAGTCCCTGGCTATCTGTGTTCTGCCCCAAACATCAGCACAGTGGCATCTGGCAAGGCTCCTTCCAGAGAAAACACAGAGGTGAACGTTGCAGATCCCAACAGGAAGAAAACAAACCGACTTCCAGAGCCAGCAGAAATAGACTTCTTCTGAGTCAGGTGGCCTACTTCCTGAACTACCAGCTGAAGACCTACAGTAAGTTCTACAGGTTCACCACCACGAAAGTGATGAATAATGTCCTGTCTTGTTTTGAGAACCTAACCACTTTCTTAATCAAAATTAGTTTCATCCTCTTCATCCTTGCAGAAAATAGAAATGAGTATTTTACCATTTTGTTAAAGATGTAAGGCAGAGGCCAAAGTATTTAGCAACTTTTCCATGTCTGCAATAAGGTGGGTGTGGGACTGGGATTAAAATCCCAGCTATTGGCCGGGCGTGGTGGCTCATGCATATAATCCCAGCACTTTGGGAGGCCGAGGCAGGTGGATCACGAGGTCAAGAGATCGAGACCATCCTGGTCAACAAGGTGAAACACCGTCTCTACTTAAAATACTTAGTCGGGTATGGTGGCGTGCACCTGTAGTCCCAGTTACGAGGCTGAGGCAGGAGAATTGCTTGAACCCAGGAGACGGAGGTTGCGGTGAGCCGAGTTCGCGCCATTGCACTCCAGCCTGGGTAACGAGCGAAACTCCGTCTTAAAAAAAAAAAAAAAATCCCAGCTATTAATTTCTGACACAGGCACAGAACCACCTGTTTTACTCAGCAAAGGGTGAAATCATGTTTACGGGAATCCTCTCTACTGTATAAGATTTTGCAGACCAGTAGCATCTAGTCTGTTGGTCTAAATGGCTGAGGCTAGTGAACTTCTACTAGGTTCTGGTTTCTGCTGAGCCCCAGTAGGCAAAGGTGTGTTCTGGGACACCAGGGGAACACAGTGATAGCACATGGTACCTCCTGTGAGGAACTTGAAGGGGACCCTGGTCCTAATAGAACCTGTGGTATCTGTAAGTGGCACCATCAAGAACAGGGAGTACCCTGGTACTGGTGCCAATGAGCTGGGATCCCTGGTGGGCACCAAAGCACCTGGCTAATTTTTGTGTTTTTAGCAGAGGTGGTGTTTCACCATGTTGGCCAGGCTGGTCTTCAACTCCTGAGGTCAAGTGATGTGCCCGTCTGGGCCTCCTAAAATGCTGGAATTCCAGGCAGGAGACACCGGGCTGCCTCCACAGATTATTTTTAAGTAAAGGTTGTTAGAATTCATCCCTTGGTCCTGTCTCCTATTATAAATTTCCCTAAACATTCATTGAGCATGATATAGGATGATATAAATCAGTATTGCAGCAATGCTTCTGGAAAGTGGTCGGGGCGATTTTTGAAGATTTTGGGGAGAAAGTTTTAATTATTTGCACTGACTTAGGTCAGAGGATATGTGATTAAGATCTACCAGATGAGGGAGACTTTGTCCCATGGATCTGAAAAGCAGGCTCATCTACTTCTCAGGTGATTTAACCTAGGGCCTGTTAGAACATTTTCATCAGAATATCACATTCTTACACTGAGAATATTTTACATCCTTGTGCTATGACCGAACACTGATTTGGGGTGAAGTGTGATTTCCTTAATGTGACCTGCACTTCTTAATTTGTTTGCAGGAGATCCAAAAGATTACAATGAAGAACAGAAATGCAGAGACAGCAAAAATAAACTTCTTATGAGTCAAGTGGCCTACTACCTGGGCTGCCGGCTAAAGACAGAAGGTAAGTTCTCTGGGTTCACTGTCTTGAAAGTGATGAACAATGCCCTGTCTTGTCTATGAGAAGTGATACCTTCACTTATTCAAAGTTGATTTCATCCTTTCCATAGTTTATGAAAATAGCAAAGAGTATTTTAACGTTTTGTTAAAGATGGAAGACAGAGGCCAAAGCATTTAGCAACTTTTCCACATCTGCAGTAAGGCGGGTGTGGGACTAGGGTTAATATCCCAGCTATTGATTCCCGACACAGGCACAGAACCCCCCGTTTTTCTCAGCAAGAAGCTAAGTCATGTTTACAGGAATCCTCTCTGTACCATATAAGATCCTGCAGAACTCATAAGCAAGATAAAGGTAGAAGTGTTTATGTCCTGGCTTCAAGGTGACTGAGTAGCTAAGACAAGTTGACTTTAAGGAGATCAAGAGTGGAGATGAGAAGAGTAAAAGCGGGAAAACAACATCTTCAAATCGATAGGCAGTGCTGTCAGTGACATCCCTTAGTCCCGATTAAAGCAATTTGACGTCACCAGTTTCTAACGCATCGTGTGTTTGGGTTTCTTCTCCCCAGTCCCTGGCTATCTGTGTTCTGCCCCAAACATCAACACGGTGGCCTCAGGCAAGCCTCCTTCCGGAGAAAACACAGAGGTGAACGTTGCAGAAGGCATTGAGATATCCTGCTCCCGGCAGGAAGAAAACAAACCGACTTCCAGAGCCAGCAAAAATAGACTTCTTCTGAGTCAGGTGGCCTACTTCCTGAATTACCAGCTGAAGACCTACAGTAAGTTCTATAGGTTCACCACCACGAAAGTGATGAATAATGTTCTGTCTTGTTTTGAGAAAGTAACCTCTTTCTTCATCAAAATTAATTTTGTCCTTCCCATACTTGTAGAAAATAGAAATGGTTATTTTAGCGTTTTGTTTAAGATGGAAGGCAGAGGCCAAAGTATCTAGCAACTTTTCCACGTCTACGGTAACATGGGTGTGGGACTGGGGTTACAATCCCTGCTATTGATCTCTGACACAGGCACAGAACCACCTGTTTTTTTCAGCAAATGGCTAAATCATGTTTACAGGAATCCTCCCTGTACCATATAAGATCCTGCAGACAAGTAGCATCTAGTCTGTTGGTCTACGTGTCTGAGGCTACTGAACTTCGATTTGGTTCCAGTTTCTGCTGAGGCCCAGTAGGCAAAGCTGTGTTCTGGGAACACTGGGGGAAACACAGTGATAGCACACAGTACCTCCTGTGAGGAGCTCGAGGAGGACCCTGCTTTTAATAGAACCTGTGGTATCTGTAAGTGGCACCCACCATCAAGAGCAGGGAGTACCCTGCTGCTGGTGCCTCAGCCTCTCCATTAGCTGGGATTTCTGGTAGGCACCAAAGCACCCGCCTTATTTTTGTACTTCTAGTAGAGGCGGGGTTTCACCATGTTGGCCAGGCTGGTCTTGAAATCTTGAGGTCAAGTGATCTGCCCTTCTGGGCCTCCTAAAAGGCTGGAATTCCAGTCATGAGACAGCGGGCTGGCTCCACAGGTTCTTTTTTAAGTAAAGGTTGTTAGAATTCATGCCTTGGTCCAGTGTCCTATATAAATTTCTCTAAGTATCATTGACCATGATATATGCTGAGATAAATCGGTATGGCCGCAATGCTTCTGGAAAGCAGTTATTGCAATTTTTGAAGACTTTGGGGAAAAACAGTTTTAATTATTTGCACTGACTTAGGTCAGAGGATATGTGATAAAGATGGACGAGATCAGGGAGATTTTGTTTCACGGATCTGAAAAGCAGGCTCATTTACTTCTGAGGCGACTTAATCTAGGGACCAGTAGAACATTCCTGTCAGAATATTACATTCTTACACTGAGAATATATTTTACGTCCTTGGGCCATGACCGCAAAAACACAGTGTTTTTTTTTTTTTTTTTTCCTCTGAGACGGAGTTTCGCTCTTGTTACCCAGGCTGGAGTGCAATGGTGCGATCTCGGCTCACCGCAACCTCCGCCTCCTGGGTTCAGGCAATTCTCTTGCCTCAGCCTCCTGAGCTGAGATTACAGGCACGTGCCACCATGCCCAGCTAATTTTTTGTATTTTTAGTATAGACAGGGTTTCACCCTGTTGACCAAGATGGTCTCGATCTCTTGGCCTCGTGATCCTTCCGCCTCAGCCTCCCAAAGTTCTGGGATTACAGGCGTGAGCCATCACGCCCGGCACTGATTTGGTTTTGTGTGAAGTGTGATTTCCTTAATGTGACCTGCTCTTCTGAATTTGTTTACAGGAGATCGAAAAGATCACGGTGAAGAACAGAGAGGCAGAGACAGCAAAAATAAACTTCTTATGAGTCAAGTGGCCTACTACCTGGGCTGCCGGCTGAAGACTCAGTTCTCTAGGTTCACTGTCACAAAAGTGCTGAACAATGTTTTGTCTTCTTTCTGAGAATTTAATACACTCTCTTCAAAGTTAATTTGATCCTTCCTGTACTTCTAGGAAAATAGCAGTGGGTATTTTAACATTTTGTTAAAGACGGAAGACAGAGGCCAAAGCATTTAGCGACTTTCCCACGTCTGCAGTAAGGCGGGTGTGGGACTAGGGTTAATATCCCAGCTATTGATTCCCGACACAGGCACAGAACCACCTGTTTTTCTCAGCAAGAAGCTAAGTCATGTTTACAGGAATCCTCTCTGTACCATATAAGATCCTGCAGAACTCATAAGCAAGATAAAGGTAGAAGTGTTTATGTCCTGGCTTCAAGGTGACTGAGTAGCTAAGACAAGTTGACTTTAAGGAGATCAAGAGTGGAGATGAGAAGAGTAAAAGCGGGGAAACAACGTCTTCAAATCGATAGGCAGTGCTGTCAGTGACATCCCTCTGTTCTGTTCTGATTAAAGCAATTTGAAGTCACCAGTTTCTAACGCATCGTGTGTTTGGGTTTCTTCTCCCCAGTCCCTGGCTTTCTGTGTTCTTCCCGAAACATCAGCAAGGTGACATCTGGCAGGCCTTTTTCCAGAAGAAACAGTGAGTTTAACATTCCAGAAGGCATTGAGAAATCCTGGTCCCAGCAGGAAGATAACAAACCGAATATCGGAGGCAGCAAAAATAGACTTCTTATGAGTCAGGTGGACTACTCCCTGGACTATCGGCTGAGGACATGCAGTAAGTTCTATAGGTTGACCACCACGAAAGTTATGAATGATGTCCTGTCTTGTCTCGAGAAACTAACCGCTCTCTTCATCAAAATTAATTTCATCCTTCCCATTTTTGTAGAAAATAGCAATGGGTATTTTTAACATTTAGTTAAAATGGAAGACAGACACCAAAATAGCAACATTTCCACATCTGCAGTAAGGTGGGTGTGGGACTGTGGGACTGTGGGACTGGGGTTTTACAGTCACAGCTATTGATTCCTGATCCAGGCACAGAACCACCCGTTTTTCTTAGCAAGAGGCTAAATCCATGTTTACAGGAATCCTCTCTATACCGTGTAAGATTTTACAGACAAGTAGCATCTAGTCTGCTGGTCTAAATGTCTGAGGCTACTGAACTTCCGGGCAGTTCCGGTTTCTGATAAAGGTCCAGTAGGCAAAGCTGTGTTCTGCGTACCCTTGGGGAAACACGGTGATAGCAGACAGTACCCACTGTGAGGAGCTTAAAGGGGACCTTGCTCCTAATAGAACCTATGCTTTCTGTAAGTGGCACCATCAAGAGCAGGGAGTACCGAGGTATTGGTGTCTCAGCCAGCCAATTAGCTGGGATCCCCGGTGGGCACCACCACATCTTGCTAATTTTCATGTTTTATGTAGAGGCAAGGTTTCACCACGTTGGCCAGGCTGGTCTTGAACTTTTGAGGTCAGGTGATCTGCGTGCCTGGGCCTCCTAATGCTTGGATTCCAGGTATGAGCTACAATGCTGGCTCCACAGATTCTTTTTAAGTAAAGGTTGTTAGAATTCATCTGTTGGTCCGGTCTCCTATACAAATTTCTCTAATTATTCATTGGCCATGATATATGATGAAATAATTGGTATTGCAGCAACCCTTCTGGAAAGTAGCGCAATTTTTGAAGGTTTGGGGAGGAAAAGTTTTAATTGTTTGCACTGACTTAGGTCAGAGGACACATGATTAATATCTACCAGTTGAGAGAGGTTTTGTCCCATGGGTCTGAAAAGCAGGTTCACCTACTCCTCAGGTGACTTAATCTAGGGCCCGATAGAACATTTCAGTAAGAATATCACATTTATACACTGAGAATATTTTATGTCCGTGTGCTGTGACTGGACACTGATTTGGTCTTGTGTGAAGTGTGATTTGTTCAATGTGAGCTGCTCTTCTGAATTTGTTTACAGAAGATCGACAAGAGCATGAAATACAGAAATACAGAGAAACAAAAATAAAGTTCTTATGAGGCAAGCGGCGTACTACCTGCGCTGCCGGCTGAAGATTGAAGGTAAGGAAGTTCTATAGGTTCACCTTCATCATGAAAGTGCTGAACGATCTTCTGTCTTTTCTCTGAGAAACTGAACACTTCTTCAGAATTTACTGAATTTTTCCCATACTTCTAGGCAAATATAAATGGGTAGCTTTGCATTTTGTTAAAAATGGATCCGTCGGTTCAGTCTCCTCTGTAAATTTCTCTAACCATTAGCTGACCATCACATATGATGAGATAAATCAGTATTGCTGCAATGTTGTCCCTCAGTCAAGTGGCCTCTAGTCTGTTGTTCTGAATGTCTGAGGCTGCGGAACTTCCATTCGGTTCCGGTTTCTGCTGAGGCCCAGTAGGCAAAGCAGTGTTCTGGGGACACTGGGGTGAACACGGTGATAACACACAGTACCCGCTGTGGGGAACTTAAAGAGGACTCTGCTCCTTACACAACCTGTGGTATCGGTAAGTGGCACCATCAAGAGCAGGGAGTACTTTTGTATTCGTGACTCGGCCTGTTAGCTGGGATCCCCGGTGGAAACCATGACCCTTGGCTAGTTTTTGTATTTTAGTAGAGGTGGGTTTTCACCATGTTGGCCAGGCTGGTCTTAACTTCCTGAGGTCAACTGATCTCCCTTCCTGGGCCTCCTAAATTGCTCCAATCCCAGGCATGAGTCACTGTGCTGGCTCCACAGATTCTTTTCTATGTAAAGCTTGTTAGAATTCATCCGTCAGTCCATTCTCCTCTATAAATTTCTCTAACCATCATATATGACGAGATAAATCAGTATTACTGCAATGCTTTTGGAAAGTAGTTAGGGCAATTTTAGAAGGTTTTGGGGACAAAGTTTTAATTGTTTGTGCTGACTTAGGTGAGAGGATAAGTGATTAAGATCTAGCAGATAAGGGAGATTTTTGTCCCATGGATCTGAAAAGCAGGCTCATCTACTTCTAGGGTGACCTTAATCTAGTGACCAGTAGAACATTCCCTTCAGAATATCACATTCTGAAACGGAGAATATTTTTCATCCTTGTTCTATGACTAGACACTGATTTGGTCTTGTGTGAAGTGCGATTTGCTTAATGTGACCTGCTCTTCTGAATTTGTTTACAGAAGATCGGAGACGTCACGGGGAGGAACAGAAATACAGAGACAGCAAAAATAAACTTCTTATGAGTCAATACTACCCGGGCTGCAGGCTGAAGACGGAAAGTAAGTTTCATAGGTTCACCGTCACCAAAGTGCTGAACGATGTTCTGTGTTTCCTGTGAGAAACTAAAGGCTCTCTTTATCAGAATTAATTTCATTTTTACCATACCTCTAGGAAAATATAAATGGGTATTTTAACATTTTGTTAAAGGTGGACGAGAGAAGCCAAAGTTATGTAGCAACTTTTCCACATCTGCAGTAAGGCGGGTGTGGGACTGAGGGTAAAGTCTCAGCTGTTGATTTCTGACACAGGACAGGCACAGAACCACCTGTTTTTCTCAGGAAGAGGCTAAATCATGTTCACAGGAATCCTCTCTGTACCACCTAAGATCCCGCAGACAAGTAGCATCTAGTCGGTTGTTCTAAATGTCTGAGGCTGCTGAACTTCATTCAGTTCCGGTTTCTGCTGAGGCTCAGTAGGGAAAGCTCTGTTCTGGGGGACATGCGATGGTAGCACTCTATACCTGTTATATGGAGCTTAAAGTGGACTCTGCTCCTTACATACCCTATGGTATTTGTAAGTGGCATCATCAAGAGCAGAGATTTCTCTGGTCAGAGGGACGTCCTGCTGTCTTTGCAGAGGCTCTCGTTGGTAAAGAGGAAGAACGACGGCACCCATGACTTTGTGAAGGCAGCAGTGCATAGAGGAGGGACCCTGGGCCAGTCTTCTGAGCTCCCTCCAAGTTGCTTCTTTTGTTTGTTACTCAGTTTTGTCATCTGTTTGTAGGATACTATAATAATGCCTACCTCTGTCAATTGCTGCACTGAATTAGATGGCCTATTCTTGTAACTCTCCCGGGACAGTTGTTGGCACAGAGTAAACACTGTCTATTAGTTTCTTTTTTTTTTTTGAGATGGAGTTTTGCTGTTGTTTCCCAGACTGGAGTGCAATGGCATGATCTCGGCTCACCGCAACCTCCGCCTTCTGGGTTCAAGCAATTCTTTTGCCTCAGCCTCCTGAGTAGCTGGGACTATAGGTGCACACCACCATGCCCAGCTAATTTTTGTATTTTTAGTAGAGACGGGGTTTCACCTTGTTGACCAGGATGGTCTCGATCTCTTGACCTCGTGATCCACCCGCCTCAGCCTCCCGAAGTGCTGGGATTATAGGCGTGAGCCACCACACCTGGCCAACACTGTCTGTTAGTTCTTCATTCTACTGTGTCTAGCATAAGGGAAACTTTATTAGTCTTGGTGCATATTTCTTTTATGGCCTTAGGAGAGGCTCCAGACCTTTATAATTCCACAATGACAGTTTTATCGGTGTTTTCTTCCACAAAACATGTGGCCATGACATGACTAGGACTTTCTGAATGAGAACACAGATGGGAAACCCATGGAGTTGGAGGTCACCGTATTGCAAATGTCCCTCCTTTTGTGATGGATTGTGGTCTTTGGAACAGGAGGCAGTATCTGTCCAGTTGTAAAGGACAGGAAGGAAGCGGTGGCAGGAGGGCAGTTGTTGGAGTGGAAAGAGCTCTGGACTAAGAATGAAGGTCCCAGGCTGTATCTTCAGCAGTGTTCTTAGGAACTGTCAGGGAGCAATTGATTTCTTCTTCCTTTCTCTGCCTCCATCTGCAAAGGGAGGTAAATTTCTCTCTCTCCATCTGCAAAGGCAGACATCTTGCAGTGTCTGAAGCATTCAAATGTGTGAGCACTTATGACCGCTTATCACAATGAGATAAAGCCCCTTGCTGTGTGGTGTTGGAGAAAGCACTTGATGTGTGGGCATTTGGTGGTAGGAAGTGGTTCAGATTGGAGAGCATTCCCCATGCAGAGAATGTCTCTGAATAACATAGCAGAAGCCACTTGGAGGGCCTGTGAAGTCACCTGATGTGCAGAGGATTGTACAAGTTTGTTTATCCTCTCCTAAGAGAAAGAAATAGGTTGTAAATATGAGCTGTGACGGCCGCCAAGCCTGTCCCTGGGAATCAGATCTGTGTTGGGATGGGGGGGACAGCTGCCAAAGTCCAGAGAGAGGCTGCACAAGCCTCCAGTGATGTGGGAGCAGAAGGTCTTTTCAACATTCGGCCTCATCTTGATGGTGAGCCTCCTGATCCGAAATGCATTGCCTGGTGGATCAGGAAACCATGCCAGGGCATTTTGTTAAAGAGAAAACATGAGAGCTTTCAGTAGAACAGGGACCCATACACAGATGTTCATGTCCCTGCGCACATTGGGCCGACTGTCCCTGCAGAGTGTGAAATGGGAAATAACTGAACTAACACATCTGTACTTGCAGAAAACGACAAAGACGAGGATGAAGATGTTCATGTCATGGAGGCTGAGAAAATCCAGGAATCACGTGCCCCCAGGTAACACTGAAGAAGCCGTGGCAAGTAATGGGTGGTAAAGTATGGAAAAGGTCTAGAAGCACACCCTCTCTGGTGTCTCCCATGGGCCAAAAGCCTGCATTCCCTTGGCCACAATATGTTCAGTTCCACTTAACTTAGACACAGGGTGTGGCAGCTGTTGTGGTTCTTTGTATGTGCTGAGTGCCGTGTCTGAATTATACAGGGATAACTGAGTCTTTTTTCTTCTCGGCTCCTTTCTGCCCAGTGTAAGGAATACCAGCTGCTGTCTTTCTCTCCGGTTCCCATGGCAGCCATGCTGTGTTGCAGAGAGGACAATGTTGTGGGTAATTTGTGGCACGTGTATAGATTTTAATTTCTGACTCCTCCCAAGATGGGAACCTACAATCAGATGAGCCAGGTGAACTCAGCAAACAGGGATTTCCTGGTTTTGCCTGTTCTCCCCACTGCTGTGTTTAAACCCAGGGAGAGACACATATATGCTTTCTGCCCATTTGTTGTGAGTGTGTTTGCTAGGATCTGTGAAGAGAAGAAATTCACAACATAGACATATTATATCAAAATACTGGAAAAAGAAGGCCCTTAATACACCAGATCTGGGTGTCTGAAGTGCCTCAAGAGCTCTGTCCACTTGAATGCTGCATGTAAAATTCAACACAACTTACGCGAGGTGGTTGAAGCCCCGTGTTAGTTCTCGTGCTGCAAGTCGTGATGAGAGTTTACAGGGAGAGTCTGTGTGGCCTGCAGTGGCTCATCTGTGCAACATGCAGTGAGCACATGCTGCTCATTTGTGCTCTGTCCCCAGGGCAGTCACCCTCCACCCTGCATTTAGAAGCGATAGTTTTTTTTCTCTTGAAGGAAAAAGGCCTTTGCTTTCTGTGACCACTCCATTCTGACTTCCATCAGATCAGCTGGGAGACTTTGTTGTCTAATCCGTGTTGGTTTAATCTTGTCATCCCTGTCCTGCCTGGCTCATCAGGAATCTGCAGGAGTCTGTGGAGGAGGAAGCCCCCCAGGAGTCCTGGGATGAAGATGATTCGATTCTCTCAATTCCTCCTGGCACATTTGCCTTCGATGAGCTTTACAGGACCAACTTGCACTCATTAGAGGAACAGCAGGTCAACTTGGCTCATGACATAGACAGTGAGTACTCTGTTGTGAAAGTGGTAAAGCTCCACTTTGTGTCCCAGATAGACCCCATAGTCTTTGTGCATTGCTCCCCTGGCCGCGCTGAGAGTTGTCATCACTGTGGGCTGAACCTATCCATCAGTGCAGATTTCAGTCACTCCGGATTCCAGTCTGAAGCACGGGCATGGGGTGGTTCAGTGAGCTTTGCTCTCTCTCTAGTCTCAGTCCATGCCCGTGGCACCCTGGACCAACTGTCAGGACGTTGAAACCCAAGGAGGCTGTTGCAAACTCACACCAAGCTATGCAGCACATGCCCACCGAGTTGTCTGTCAATCTGAATTAAATGTCTCTTGCCAGCTACCAAGTTCCTCATGAGTTTTGTTCCCCAGGCATGTCTGTGAGGTTCTTTCCTGTTTGTACAAACTTGGGATAAAGGGATAATGGTCTACCAGAATAGGGACGTTTCACCATTGGTTCTGAGACACAAACCAATGAATCTCTATCATGATTGGCCTTGAGACCTCCTGAAGTCTCTCTCTCACGTTATCCTGTTCTCAAGCTGAGGAGTCTGAGGTCCCCGTGCAGGGATTAGACAGTGGACTGTTATGGGTGTAGGGCAATGGCTAACTTTGTCCCTATCTGAATTTATTGCAGAGATTAAAAAGGACCGAGAAGAGGAAGAAGACCAAGGCCCACTGTGCCCCAGGTAACTTTGAGCAACTGTGAACAGCTAATTTTGTGTTGACACCTGGAGACGCCAGGTCCACGGAAAACAGAGTGGGCTGACAATATCGATACTATCTTTTCAATGAAGCCTGAAGTATTCCAGACGTCGCTGTTGGTTTTCATTGCAGTAGATACTTAGGTTTCCTTCCCATTTACTAACTGCTGTGGGTTGACCATACTTGTTTTTATGATCAGTGTACGCTGTGTGTCCTGAGGGTACTGACTCAGAGTGTCCTTTTACTCCCTCATCAGTGTGTCACCTGGACGGTTCACTGAGCTTACTTTCTCTCTCTCTCTCTCTCTCTCTCTCTCTCTCTCTCTCTCTGTCTCTTTTATTTTTTTCTCCCCTACTCTTGTTCATCCCAGCATAAGGCAATGGTTTGTTACGTCATTAGTAGATCTATGTTTTTTCTTTATCAACCACTTTCTTGTGCTACCCATGAAATCTAGTTGGGGCTCTGCGGTGTCTTATTTTCCCTGACTTATTCTTTGGTTTTTCCTTCTTTTTAGGGTCAGCATGGAGCTGGTGGAAGCAGAAGAGCCTGAAGTCTTCTGGTACTCACTGGATATATTGTATTCAACATACACCGCTTATCTGAGTTTTATTACACATGCCAGGCTTACACATATGCCGTTTTTTTATATGCAGAAGAGCATGTTCGCTTGACTTTGGACATGGACAGTAGGTTTTTTACTCTGACGGTGATAGGACTCCACCTGGTCTCCCGGATAGGGGTCATATTCCCACACTAAGACAACGTGTCACACGGGACTCTGCCAGTGCAGAGTATGAACCACGCCATGTTCTTGCTGAAAACACTTAGCCCGAGTTTTATA